CCATACCTCCCCCACAGAGGGCGATTGAGATTTCCAAGGGGTGGGGAGGGTCTGAGGAGGGTATATTGTGTAGTTCCATAAAATATCCATACCTCCCCCACAGAGGGCAATTGAGATTTCCAAGGGGTAGGGAGGGTATGGAGATACAAATACTTTCTTTATAAGACTTAATAACAAGATACTTCATGTGTACTTCAAAGGTTCTACCATACCTTGTGGAGAGGAAAACTTGGGATGATCTGTGGTCAAGTGTCAGGTCTCCTAGATTTGAGAATCAAGTACAAAGAATGAAGGTAGTAGCAACTATTCCTAACTATTCCTGTCCGAATTAAGTCCAATAAATATGTAATGATCAGACCTTTTCCTTGTGCCATTCCTTCTGGACATTGGCTAGAAATTGTCAGCTGACTGGGTGTTATCTTGAGCCCTAGAAATGATTCTTTTCTTGACGCATAATATTAAAGCTATCCTTTTGAAACTTTTTCTTGGGGTGCATGTGACGTCATACCCGACATTTTGGTTGACTTTGACAAAGGATTTGGTCAACCAACATTGCAGCCATGATGTTTGTCCTTTTATTCTCATGGGGAGGGATGTACTCCACCAATGGTGTTTATGCCAAAGGTATGTTTTATGTTTATCTGTAGGCATGTGGTATACAGAACTTGTTTTATCTGGTGGAAGGCTCACCTAAAGACATTAGTGGCAGGCCAGGACCTGAAGTGGAAACATTTCTACAGGTAGTAACCAATACAAGTAGATTCTAAATGCAAAATAGTTTTAATGTGGGAGGTGCGCAGGGATGAATCTAGGGGGAAGGGGTGCAGGGTGTTGTCCTAGATGAGCTGGTATCTATGGCATTATTGCTACTTGAGTTTGTAAACATCCTGATTGTTAATGATGCAACCCCCTCCTAAAAAATTCCTGGATCGGCCTAAGTGGGAGGGGTGTTCGGGCACGGGGAGGGGATTGTGTAGAATTAACGATGCAACCAAAATGAATGTTGTATCATGAGGGTGACCCATACTAGGGCTCAAAATATGAATAACTGACATTGTCCAGCCAAAATTGTACTTGTCGAGTCAGCACCCCTTAGGCTGCCCAGACCTCTCGATTGGTCGCATTGACTGGTTATATGTTGGTCAGTGTGATGTGGCTGGTATTCATATCCAGCCATTGAGCAGCCATTATTGTTAGCCCTGTCATAGCCTTTGGCTAGCTAACCTGCAACCTCGTTTCTTGATTTGAATTCTTGAATTCTTAGGGTAAGCTAGACAGGTTGTTGTTGGAGGATAAATTCTTCGTCAATCGTACTCCTTCCTGGCTGAAGACAGTAGAGTGGCTTTGTCACCTCACCAACCTTGCAATAGCTTGTCAACAAGCAAGTATGTACACTAAATACAATACCTTGGATGATATACACCCTTCTCAAAACCACCCCTTGAAAATCCCAATCGCCCTCTGTGGGTGGAGGTATGAATATTTTATAGAACTACACAATATACCCTCCTCAGACCCTCCCCACCCCTTGGAAATTCCAATCCCCCTCTGTGGGGGAGGTATGAATATTTTATAGAACTACACAATATACCCTCCTCAGACCCTCCCCACCCCTTGGAAATCCCAATCACCCTCTATGGGGGAGGTATGGATATTTTATGGAACTACACAATATACCCTCTTTATGCAGACCCTCCCCACCCCTTGGAAATCCCAATCCCTTTCTGTGGGGGAGGTATATACCCTCCTGAGACCCTCCTCACCACTTGGAAATAGGATATTTCCTGAAAGTACAGTACAGTACATTGCATGTCTTTATGTTTGTTGTTCCATAGGGGGCAGAAAACAATGGATGACATTTGCCGAATTTTCCAGAAAGGCAAACAGTGTGCCTGCAGCACCCATTGCCAGGAATGCAAAACCAGGTATTGTTCCTTTAAAACCCTTTATCAGGTTTAAAGTTAAGCATGTCATTCGATAATCATCCCATCGAGAATCTTATGCTAAATATACCTATTTAATTCTTCACAGTTTCTGGAATTGTTTGGCCTGCAAGTGCTTTTGCCAATAACATCAAAAGGTACCTAAAAAATGTTTTTACTATATTTCTGGTTACTACACATCAACATGTCAGGGCTCAAAATAGCGGCTTGCCAATGGCCAAATGACTGGCCAAATTTCAGGTTTGGCAGGCAAAAATAATGATGCACTGCCAAATGAATAATAAATTGACATGCAAAATTTACTGGAATGACCTCCTTTTACCATGCTGCCTTTACTTTGGCAGGCTGAAAAAAATTCTATTTCAAGCCCTGCATGCCATTCGGATAGGAATGATGCAACTGAAAGTGCGCACGTGTGCTGTGTTCTCTCACAAAGCATGCACTCCCAGCCAATCAGAATGTAAGATTTATAACATTTTTTATAATATTTGATATTAATTTTTAGTCATCACAAGCGACAGAGGGATTTAGGCAGCAATCTAGACCATGTTCCACAGTTATCTGATTCAATTCTGATCATCCAAGGCTTGACAGCTTATAACACTGTAAGTACATTGATTTTCCTAGCATGGGTTTCCTGTGTATGTAGCTTCCACAGAAGATTGGCAAAATGCAAGTAGACTCTTCCTTGATCCCAGTCTACACCTCTTCTTTACCACAGGAAACCCATAATTCTGGATTGATGTTGATGATGATGAGAACAAATGACTTTCAATTTTGTTAATTGATTTTAGACTTGTAATAGTCATTTAAAGAAAGCCCTGGCTGATTACCTCCAGCTACCAGGACAAACTGCTGAAGGTGAATATATAATAATAATGATGATGATAATGATTATGACCGACAGCGATGATGATGGTGGTGGTGATGATGATGGTAACAATAAT